TCTTGTTACTATTTGATTATCAACTGTTCGAATGATGCATAGTGTTCCTAAGAATATCACTTTTAGACGGGTAAAACTCGAAGGGTAATTTCTGTTCCCAATACAAAAAAAAACTAAAACCCATTCGGACGGGATTTAATTCGGGATGCATCAACCCTAAACACCTTGTCGCATGGTGTGAAGGGTTGATGCCTCCCGAATGACGTGCCATCCTATAGGGGCTTATGTTTTCTTCATTCCCCTAAATTTTAGGCTAAAATCTTGCGCGAGGTAACAAGCAATCAATATTGGGATTTCCCAAAATCTCTACAGTTTCTTTTGTGGTTTCAAGTTAATCATTATCGTTTCATCGAGTGACCAACCGTGATAGCAATAAGAGGCGAGGTGTGACCATCCGTGATAGCACTGTGATCACCCGCGATAAGAATCTACTGTACTGTGACTGTTTAAGATAGCCCTGTAACCTAACGCGATAAAACGGGCTTTATTGTGACTGCTCGTATAATTTCCCTTCTTCAAACCCTTCCACAGTCCGCCAGCTACACCCTAATGCTCACTCAACCGCCCACTCTGAACATGGCCGCTGCCACTCCATACGCCCAGTGGTCGACATTCACAGCCAACGGCCCGCGCGTTACTAGCCCACGACAAAACCAAGATGTTCGAGTTTCCCAGACAAAACACGCTGGGCTACCCACAATTTCCGCAACTGTAGTTTTTTTGTCAACCTTTGTTCCACATTCAGTCCCATTCTGCCCCTAGTGAACGCACGCTCGAGAGAGGAGCACAGGGAAAGATGGGGAAGGGGACTGAAATGGGCATCATGTGTAGCAGCCAAGCACTCCCCTCGACAGGCACAGCAAAACCGTTTGCGCGCACTCGCGCGTAACACATCGCCTGTCGACCCCGCTCCCTTCCCAATCCCCTCAGGGCGCGGTACATAGTTGTTCAAGAGCTGTTCAAGACTTGTTCATACAACACAAATTTCGGGTTACCCTGTTCACTACGATAAAGTTGTACCTAGGCTGGTCAAGAAGGTCGCGCGTCTTGACCAGCCAGCTGACGAACACACGACTGCTGTTTTGAACAACTCGTTCGTCAGCAAAAATATTCTGTACCGCATCGCTGGTCAACATAATTGACGAAACAAATTTTCGCGCACCAAGTAGCTGTCGCCCGTGAGTGAGAAGGTAGCGAAGCTGTTACGGGAGTCACAACTTCCACTGCTTTCGCAGTGTTGTAGGCGGGTTCGTCACCTCGACGGAAATTGGTTCTTAGACGAGTCTTGTCCATCCGCTTTTGTAACATGTTCCAAAATGTTTATTTTGACCAGAAATTCCTCACCAGCCTCGTTTGAACCCCGTTCAAGCTAGTTTGAACGCATTGTTCGTCATTTCCATCTCGAACAGCTCTTGAACAACTGTGTATCGCGCCCTCACAGAGCACAAACCAAATCCACCACGGCTTCACCTCTCCGCGATTCAACGCGCCTTCCCCGGCGCTGGTTCACCCGTCCACCCAACCGACCCGCACCGTGGTGAGTCCGTGCCGGTGTGACCCGTCCCTTCCTTGCTTTTCCGCCCCGCACATTTCTCCTCCCAGCCAAGCCTTCCGCCGCAGCTTCCTCGTACTCGAGTTTCACCGCCTTCTCTTCCCCTGCCGGTCCGCTGCCGGAATGAGGAAATGAAGGTGCGATTTCTTGCCCGCAGCCGTCTGTAACGAACGACGCTAGAACTGTGTGGCTTGGCTTGGGTGGGTATGGTTGAGCTCCGCTCTGCAGCTTCCCTCCACCGTTGCTTTCCCCGTTGCACGGCACGGACAAACCACACCACATTCCCCGCCGCGCCTTTCAATTTCAAGCCCCCTTCCCCCGAGCTCGCATCACAAGCAAGGCAGCTGGTGCTGGTGCGAGGTTGCTGCTTGCTCCAGCCAGCCAACCCCCCGCCGGAGGGCAGTGCAGCACGGCATGCGTGCTCCAACAGTAACTGACGAAATCATTCATCCACACAGTTACGTTTTGAAATCGGGACCAAGAATCACACCACAAGGTGACTGGCTGGCATATTTATTAGCCTCCAATCCTACCAGGCTCCTCAGTCGAAGACAGCTTTCTTACCTTATTCATTCCACATCACAAACCCAAGACAGAAATTCTTCTTTCAGTAAATTCTAGCAGCTAGCAGCAGCTTAGTAAACTCAGCGTTTGCATCCTTTCACATTCATCTATCATGGCTCCAAGGATGCCTGCGCACGACTCGCCTATCGCAGCACCGTTTGACGAGTTCAGTTTTATCTTCGACCTAATGGACCGAGATCGCGACGGTCGCATTTCCGCAACAGAGCTCGCATCAGTCCTGGAGAGCCTAGGATAGGAGCGAGTGGAGGAAACGGTTCAAGCTATGATGAGCCAAGCCGACACTGACGGCGACGGCTACGTCGATTTTGACGAATTCATCCGCGTTAGTAGCCACTCTTCATGGACGTCGTCTCTTTTTGAGGCGTCTCCCAAATCGACATTATCCGCGTCCCTCGCGTCCGATTGCGAATCAGCGGCCGAAGCGTTCTGCTGCAGAGGGTCCGACGGTCCGTCGATCGACGATCTTGCAGCGGCTTTCGAGTTGTTCGACCGGAATAAGGACGGCTTTATCACAGCGGAGGAGTTAAGCGAAGTGATGGGGGGGATCTGGGAGGACGAGGACATGTCGCTGGAAGAATGCGAGAGAATGATCCGGAGCGTCGATCTTGATGGCGATGGACGGCTGTGCTTCAGCGAGTTTGTGGATATGATGCTGGCGTCAGGGTCGTGGCCGCAAGCCGAGCTGTCGCCATGCCAAACGGAGCAACGGAACGTGAGGGCGAAGGCAGGGATCGTGTTCTAAGGAGGATCGCACTCATCATAATACTCGCTGGGTCAACTGCAGGACGAGCCTTTATGGCTTTAGAAACTATGCTTGCTGAGGTTCCCCATGTGTACATAATTATCCGCATCAATATATCAATTCTTCATTCACGCTGAGCTATGCAGGAAGTTATGTTCCTTTATTGTTTATAAACACTAACCTCAAACAACCCATGAAGGTGTAGATGTTGTTCCAATGTTCGCTGGGGATTTGCGCACAAGAGCACTTTGACAGGCGGAATGACGTGGAGTTGACATTCCCGCCACGTCCGCCAACACGAAGAACCAGTCGAAGCAGCGCGATGGCAGTACCCAGGCCCGCCAAAATCCCAAACCAGCCAATGCGCACCCGCCAGAGCGTGCCATGCCTGATCCCCAAGCCTTGGAACTGCCACGTAACAAAAAATCCGATTGGCAGGCAATTATGTTCTGCTGACCTCAACAAATCCATCTTGGCCAAGTAGGCAAAGCGTCAGCCCTGGGAGCTCCAAATGTCCCCCCACTCACCATTATGTTCTGCTGACCTCCATATTCATCTGTAAGAACTTCAAACCTTCACGAACCTCGCCTCATTTCTACTACCTTCTCATTTCCATGCCATCCGGATTACGATCCTGATCAGGACGATTTTCCCAAGTTATCGTTTTCCGTGGTTAGTTTAGTCGCGAAACTGGATTAGGTATATCGTTCTCACGAGATTTTGACGGGCGAACTAACGCGCCCTGGCTCCTGAACAATAATAACGTCCTTGTTCACCTTTCATGCTTCGACACTTCTACATTTCCTGATCTGGCTATGACTCCACCAGCGTCAACACGTCATTGCACTGGCGAAGGTTGTTAACGGCAGCGTCGCTCGCAGGAAAGGATATAGATGAGCGTCTCATTTCCTTTCTTCCGTCCGTTGCGGGCTGGGAAAAGCAGTCATGCTGACTTCAACTTCCCAGCCTGGCCACGCAGCCCAATGCAGCTCCCTGATCAATAACACATCGACGCATTCGCGCCAAACGAGAAGAACGGGGAATGATTTTAACTACCTCTCCAGTAATAGCTTCAGGAGGATTCGTTCGTCGTCCGGATGTTTCTCCGGCGCTGCGCTTGGCCTCCCTCCTCTACCTCCCCGTTCGAGAGTGCTTGAGAGACTACACGCCTGCAGGATAGGTAGCGATCCCATCATACCACGATCGTTAAGTAGCAGCGCAAGCACTGCTGGCTTTCACGACTACCAAAGTAGCTCTGCTCGTACCCAGGAACCATATTGCAATAACCCCCCGAATCGCTTAAACCAGGGGCTGTATCAGCAACGGGAGAGCAGATCAGACATCCGCAGATCAGACGTCAGCAGATCAGTACAATGCCGAGCCGGGTCAGGTCCGCACAGAAGACCACGACGACGGTTTCCCTCAACCCCTTCTCACAGCACCGTTCTCAACTCCTCTAATCCTCCTTCAAACCCGTTTGGTATCCAGCAACCGCCTTCTACTCCTTTCAGTGGAGGACCAGAGTCCCCGGCTAGAAGACACAGGAGACGGGAGCAATGGCGCACGCGATTAGCCTGGTGGGATAACCTATTCTCCAGGCGCCCTCCCGAACCTCCCCCGGGTTGGCCCGGTGTTCCGGACGAGCCTCAGGGGGGCCCACCGGGGGATCCGCGGAGGCGGAGTCGGAGAGCGGAGGGGGAACCAGGCACGCGGAGAGGCGGAAACGGAGGGCCAGGCGGAGGGGAACCTGGCACGCGGAGAGGCGGAAGCGGAGGGTTAGGCGGATGGGATACTGGCACGCGGAGAGGCGGAGGCGGTGGGCCAGGCGGAGGGGAATCAGGCACGCGGAGAGGCGGAAGCGGAGGCGGAGAAGCAGGGAGAACGGGCAGCAGCAACAGAGGCGGCTTTAGCGCCAGCGGTGGGGGCCCGAAAATCGAAGCTCCAGGGTTCAAGGGATCTGGGTGGGGTGGCACGGGATCAGGCTCGGTTTTCGGAAAGGGGTTCGGGCAAACAGGTCCGGGGACGTCCGGAAGCAGTTCTGGTCCCGGCGAGCCCGGCGCGCCGCTGCCACGTTGGCAGAAACGTCAGATAGTAGGCGGCCCGGACGACGACATAGACGCCATGCTGGCCGATCCCGAGCGATTCGAGCGGTGGCAAACGTCCCGGGAATTACGGGGGATACAATTGGCAGGGGAGGATCCTGATGATCGGCAGTGGGAAGATTGGATAGATGATCCGTCGGAGTATGATTATGAGAATGGCGGGTGGTATGAGCCTCAACCGGACTGGGAGAAGGGCGGGATGCCGCGAGAGGCGCCGGATATCCCGGAGAGAGGCATGAGCCGGTCGTTTAAGGAGCTGCTGCTGCGGATCTTTAAGCCGCAGGACGAGGTGGAGGAGAGCTTGACGTTTGAGGAGCGGGTTTTCAGATACACGTCTCAGACCACGGTGAGTTTACACGTCTCAGACCACGGTGAGTTTTGAGGCATCTCATATTCTGGGCTGGTCGTCTGCTCCTGAGGACCTTCAAGCCGCAGGAAGAGGTGGAGGAGAACTTGACGTTCGAAGAAAGGGTGTTCAGATACACGTCTCAGACCACGGTGAGGGCATATGATTGTGCGGAAAGCAGATGGGGATAAGGAACAGTTGAGGGTGAGGGAAGACGACGGTGGGGGGGCAGATGAGGATAGGGGACAGTTGAAGGCGGGGAGAAGACGTTGGTGATGCCAGTAATAGTGACGAGCAGGTAACAGCGAGAAAACAGAAGGGACCACAGTAAGAGACACAGGAACAAAAGAGAAACTGTAAGACAAAATAAAGACACACAATCCTTTGATGTTCCTCTCCCCCCCCTCCTTGTCCGTTTCCGCCGCCCACTCCTGTTTCTCACCTGGCAGGCAAAGTTTGTCATTTTCCTCATTGCGGTGCCGTGGGCGTGCAGCTGGGTGCTGCATGACTACATCCTCACGCCCTTCATGCACCAGTGCGTATCAAACCAGCACACCGGTGCGTGTCAAATCAGCACACCAGTGCATATCAAATTTGCACATTGTGCAGCAGAAAACCCCGAGCCACCAGTTCACGAAACTCCTGAACACCTCAATTCATACACACGCCAGTTATACTCAAACTCACTGACATGTGATTGAGCGCCTCAAGCTCTCGAGAGGCAGCGGATTCGGTTAGACTCAGCCCCCCTGTTTGGTATTCTTCCTTCCCCAACACCTGAATCTCTCCCAGCTACGTGCACACCACCCCACTGATAGCACGCATGCTTGACCTGAGAGAGGAGCAGAAGCTCAACATGATTGAGCGCCTCAAGCTCGAGAGGCAGAGAATCGGTTTCCCCTTGCCCTCTCATTTGCACCTCACACCTTTCCCTTCCCAAACCTCTCGTTTTCCCCCCAGCTACGTGCACACCACCCCTCTCATAGCACGCATGCTGGACCTGAGGGAGGAGCAGACGCTCAACATGATCGAGCGCCTCAAGCTCGAGAGAGGCAGCTCATTGGGTTAACCTCAGCCTCCTTGGTTGGAATTCTTTCTTTCCCCCAACCCCTGACTCGGTCCCACAGCTATGCGCACACCACCCCTCTTGTAGCGCGCATGCTGGACTTAAGGGAGGAGCAGAAGCTCAACATGATTGAGCGCATCAAGCTCGAGGGGCAGGAGATTGGGCTCCTCTTATTGTGTCACCTGGAATCAACCTCCTTCCACCCACATCCACCTCCTTCCACCCATCCCAACCCTCTTGCATCCCTCCCCACAGCTACGCGCACACCACCCCTTTGGTAGCGCGTATGCTGGACTTAAGGGAGGAGCAGAAGCTCAACATGATTGAGCGCCTCAAGCTCGAGAGGCAGCGCATTCGGTTCGAGGCGGACATTGGAAAGGCGCCTCCCCTGTCGGAAGATGGGCTGGCGGCTTATCTGCAGGAAGAAGCGTGAGTGGTGGGGGCAGGGTTAGGGGTCTGGCGGGGTTCAGGGCTTGGGAAGTGCTTGGGGCTAGAGAGGCAGCGCATTCGGTACGAGGCGGACATTGGGAAGGCGCCTCCGCTGTCGGAAGATGGACTGGCGGCCTACTTGCAGGAGGAAGCGTGAGTGGCGGGCAGGGTTTGGGGTTAGATGGTGATGTATCCACAAGGTTGGCCGTGTGGACTGGACTAAAAGACTGGGACAGACATTAGAGGGCGCCTCCGCTGTCGGAAGACGGGCTGGCGGCTTACCTGCAGGAGGAAGCGTGAGTGGTGGGGGCAGGGTTCAGGGTGTGGCGGGGTTCAGGACTTGGGCAGTGCTTGGGGCTCCAGGGGCAGCGGATTCGGTTTGAGGCGGACATTGGGAAGGCCCCTTTTCTGTCGCAAGTTTGGCCAGCAGCTTACCTGCAGGAGGAAGGGTGAGTGGTGGGCAGCGTTTGGGACGTGAGGCTTGGAGTTTGGAGGGGTCTTTGGTTTGGGCAAGGTTTGTGGCATGTTGTGGGTTGGGCCTGAAGGCTGAGACGGACATTGGGAAGGCCCCTTTTCTGTCGCAAGTTTGGCCGGCAGCTTACCTGCGGGACGAAGCATGAAAGTGGGGTAGGATTTGGGATGTGGAGGGGTTTGAGGTTTGGGCTGTGTTTGGGGTGTGGGCAGAGTTCGCCGCATGTTCTGGAGTGGGCCTGAATGTTTGAGGTGGACGTTGGGAAGGCGCCTCCGCTGTCGGAAGACGGGCTGGCGGCCTACCTGCAGGAGGAAGCGTGAGTGGCGGGCAGGGTTTGGGGTTTGGGAAGGTTTGGGAAGGTTTGGAGAGATATTGTGCTGTTTCGTGGACTGAATTCGGCACGAAATCCCCATCCCCATCCCTCGACCTTCAACCCTGATCATGAAACCTTGTTGAACCCTTGTCAACCCCATCCAACCGTGTTGACCCCCCCAGGCGTGAGATGCGGGAGGAGATTCGGCACGAGAACGAGGCGGCTTTTGCATACATATTCTCAGACACAGTCGGGTGGCTCATATTCGCGTTCATCCTGTACGCGAACCCGAGCCAAGTGGGCATCATGAAGCTCACAGGCGATCGCATCTTCACAAATATCTCAGACACTGGCAAGGCGTTTGTCATCATCCTCTGCTCCGACATCTTCCTGGGGTGAGTGGGGGGGGGGAAGATGGGAGACGGGTATTTGGTTCTGGTCATCTTCTGCTGAGAGGCCGTGGCATGCTTCTTGGCGGATACGGTGGGGGTGGATTGGGGCATCCTCTGTGCCTTCATTCTGTGCCAAGTGGGCATCATGAAGCTCACAGGCGATCGCATCTTCACAAATATCTCAGACACTGGCAAGGCGTTTGTCATCATCCTCTGCTCCGACATCTTCCTGGGGTGAGTGGGGGGGGGGAAGATGGGAGACGGGTATTTGGTTCTGGTCATCTTCTGCTGAGAGGCCGTGGCATGCTTCTTGGCGGATACGGTGGGGGTGGATTGGGGCATCCTCTGTGCCTTCATTCTGTGCCAAGTGGGCATCATGAAGCTCACAAGCGATCGCATCTTCACAAACATTTCAGACACTGGCAAGGCGTTTGTGATAGGGGGGAAGGGATGGGGGAAGGAGGGGAGGGGAAGAGGGGGGATGGGAGAATGGGAGTGCGGGAGAGAGGCATCTGACTGCGATCATCCTCTGCTTCTTTCGGGTACGGTGGATGGGGTGGGTCATAGTAGCGTTCATTCTGAACGCGAGCCAAAGGCAAGTGGGCATCATGAAGCTCACAAGCCACAACAGGCTGGTGGCTGATCATTCCGTTTCTCGCACTCGTTGCATTTGGCTCCCCTGATCCCTTATCTCCCACCAAACCCGTTGATTTCTCAGGTACCACTTAGAGTCGGGCTGGGAGACGGTCGTGGAGATGTTTCTGGATCATTACGGGCTGGTGACAGACTGGGAATGTAACTCCTAATCCTTTTTTTCCTGTGCAGGTACCATTCAGAGTCCGGGTGGGAGACGGTGGTGGAGATGTTTCTCGACCACTACGGGCTGGTGGCGGATCAGAATTCGATCTACATCTTTGTGGCCATCGTGCCCGTCACCATCGACTCCTTCTTCAAGCTCTGGGTACGATTCATCCGTCTGTCTCCGGTCGTCAGGTGCATAGGTTCATTGAATCTAGCCGTATCCAGCTTCATGTGGCCATCGTGCCCGTCACCATCGACTCTTTTTTCAAGCTCTGGGTACGACCCATGGATTCATTGCATCTGGTCATCGGCTCTTCAATTCATCGAATCTAGTCATCCACATTGTTGTGGCTGTTGTTCCCTTCCATCACCATCATTTCCTTCTTCAAGCTATGGGTTACGAATCATGTGTTCTCACACTCGAGCTTGTAGATATAATGAACCCAGCCATGTTGAATATTCAGGTGGGCATTGTGCCCATCCATCACCATCAACTCTTTCTTCAAGCTCTGGGTATGGTTTTGGGGATTTTTTTGCTCTACCTCATTCTACTCTTTGACTCATGTTCCTTCTGCCCCTCCACTTCACTCTGTCATATCATCCTGCTGATACCTTATCTTCCCTTGCTTTCCCCCTCTCCCCTCCCAACCCCATACCCATGTGCCACCAGGTGTTCTAGTACCTCGTGCATCTGTCCCCCTCAGCTGCTGCCACTTTCTGCCCCTCCACCCCTCTCTCTCCCATATTAGCTTGCTCACTCTTCCCCTTCCGATCCTCCTCTCCCTTCCCAACCCCAAACCCACCAGGTGTTCAAGTACCTCGTGTGCCTCTCTCCCTCTGCTGCTCATACCTTTTGCTCGTACCTTGTCTTTCCTTGCTTTCCTCCTTCCAACCCCAACCCCAACCCACCAGGTGTTCAAGTACCTCGTGCGTCTCTCTCCGTCTGCTGCTGCCACTTTCCGCGAAATGAAGCGTCACTAGCCTGCTGCTTTTGCTAGCCCTTCTGCTAGCCCTTCTGCTAGCCCTGCTTCTAGCCCTGCTGCTTCCCTCACAAGCCCTGCTGCTGCTCTTACTGCCTGCTGCTGTTCCTGCGGCCAACCACCTGCCCCTGTGACCCTGCCCCTTTGCTCCTCCACCCTTTGATAGCCACCTTCAACATGTGTAGCCTGTTGCACCTCTACTAGAGCTGCAGCTAGCCTTCATCATGTACCATGCATTTCTGTAATGGTAGATGCAGCATGGTGTTTGTCAAGGCTAATATGCAACTTACAAAAAAAGTCCATATACGGTTGGTGGAACCCGACCCATCATGGGTTATTTGTACCATGTAAAGTAACTTCGATACAATAACGTGAAATATCTCAATACAGTCCAACGCCCTCCAATCGTTATCCGTCGTGCTGCCCGACCGATCGACCAAAGCCAATCACGTCCGTTCGCGCCGCTTTTGTGCCCCACACCCACCACCTGCCCCCACTTTCCCCACTGGCAGGATCGCTTTTTCGAGGCTTTCCATCCAACCAAACGACGAGGTCGTGAACCCAGTTTGACTGGGTACACGCACTATATTTGCCTGAGAAACCACATACAACCGCGAGAAACCATCTTAGAAGTTACCCAACACCTCTGGCTGACTCAATTATAGCGATCTGTGATCTGTAGGAAACCCATTCCCTGTGTCTGCCATTCCCTAGGCCATCCATTTTCTAGCCCATCCATCTCCTCAGTTCGCTGGCAGACAGACACTCGTAAGGGCGCGTGTGGTCTTACAAATTTGTGAAAGTTTATGTTTTTAGGTCGAATGTGGCATTTGAACAAAACTCGACTTTCTTTCCAGCGAAGTTCGAATCTTGGGTCTCCAACACAGACAAGTCACAATCACACACCCAAGGTCGAACACAGAGATTCGACCTTTTAGGGATAGCGGCGAGCCGCCCGTAGGGGGAGTAGGTTACCTGGTACAGCGCGACGCGTTAACGTAATGCGCAACGAATCTCAACGACCTTCGTGAAGCGGTCGCGATTTTCGGATAGCCTTCGTACGTGCTGAAAACAACACACACTCGCCTCACGTGCACCCGCACGTTCACTCGTGTGATTCGAGTTGAGTTCACATTTGACATTCGAACTTATGTGCCCCCAAAATTCTCATGCCTTCGCCAAAGCTTCCTGACGACATTGGCGAAGCTGGTAACCACACAAAGTTCGACCTTTTTTCCGAACTTGAAAATAGATCACACGCGCCCTAAGGAGCCAACTAGAGATGCAGGCTTACAAGTGCATCGCGATGCGTCCTCGGAAACGAGTCTACTGATGCAGCGGCGCGTCTGCTGTCCCCGCGTCGTCGATTATGTCGAGGAACGAACGAGGCCTTTCTTGAAACGCTACTGCCTAAGGACCTCATTGCCAGGACGAGCCAGTGGCACTGCACGTGCCTTTTTTTTAATTTCAGTTTTATTGTTTTAACAAGCTCCAATAAGCCACGCTTCAGTAGTCCGATGCGTTCCCAGGAAACCGCGTCGAGCAATACATCCACATGCGAAAAAGCCAGCACAGCGGCAAGGAAGCCTCCTCGTCGTGCTAACTTATCGTAGAGGCGTCGTCGTTGTGTGTCTGTGTGCTTATTTCTGTGTGTCTTCATTTTTTTTCTTCTTTTGTTCGCGCGAACCTGCTCGTTTCCGTCGCTGTTTCTCGTCGGGATACATTCGTTCTGTCGGCATGGCGACACAAACGCACCTCCGCCTGCATCCCCCTCCTCTCCGCCGCTCCGCTCATTCCATCGCGACAAGGACACAGCAAAGCCATCCGAGAACGGTCGCGAGAGCCCAGTGCCTCCCAGCTGCCTCCCGGGTAGTTCCAGCTACAGCAAGCGAGCACTGCAAATGCCGTGCCGTGTCACTCACTTCTGATTTCCTTCCAAGACCATTCCCGAGACCGCCCCCCACATCTTCCCGCAGAGTGTCCTCCCGGCTGTCCTCTAGAGTATCCCCGATACTATCCTCTACGCTCCAACTCTTCCCTAGAATCTCCCAAGGTCTTTCCCCCAGATTCTCCCCTGAACCTTCCTCCAAACCCGCGACAATGACTTTTAATCGCCGGAGCGCGACCGGAAGCTCGTTAGAGTCGTGCCAAAAGCGGGACCGTTCAAGCGTGGTTCCGTGTGCCTCCAACAACGGTAACGTTGCCGGTCCCGCGGCCCGGGAGGTTGATTCGATTCGGAAGGAGATCTCGGATCTGATCACATCCATCCAATGGCTGCAGAAGAAGATCAATTCGGACGGCCGTCAGACGGCGAACGGTAACTTTGACGGTGATGGGACGCAGGTGCACACAGTGTACGGGTCGAACCTGCGACCGGCGACGGAGATTCGCGGTCGCATTGAGCGACTATTGGAGCGAGCCGTGTCGCTCAAAGCCATGGCGGGCCGAAGCTCCTCGAGCTCGCGACGCGTGCCAGTCCAAGTGACGGCCACTCTTAAAGTAAGTCGTCTCTCGTTCGTTATAAGGTATGCAACCTTCAGCTGAATGCCGTGGCTGAGGCGACGCTCCTCAAGCACCGCAATTCGCCTCATCTAACCCCTTCTCACCCCTTCTCACTCCTTGTCACTCCGTCTCACCGAAATTCGTTCCTCCCCTTTTTCCCTTCCAGTCCCTGCAGCGCGAGTACAGCTCGCTCTACGACATCGTGCTTCCCTCCATCCATCCCTCTTCCCCAGCCATTCTCACCCCTTATCACACCTTCGTCCCCCCAGTCTCTACAGCGCGAGTACGGCTCGCTGTACAACATCGTGCGTCTCTCCATCCGCACGGACCTGCCAGACATGCTGCCGTCCGGTCTCTACCGCACCCATTCTCACCTCCAATCCGCCACTTATCACCCGTTTCCACCCCTTTTCACCCCTTTTCACCCATTTTCACCCTTTTCCACCCCTTCTCACCGCTTCTCACCCCTTCCTCCCCCCAGTCTCTACAGCGCGAGTACGGCTCGCTGTACAACATCGTGCGTCTCTCCATCCGCACGGACCTGCCAGACATGCCGCCCTCCGGCCTCTTTGACGAGCCTATGGATGACCCTGCCGCGACACTCGCAGCACAAGCTGCAGCGGACGCGGCAGCAGGGGGGTTGGAGGAAGGGGTGGAGGCGGCAGGACGGCCGTTGGATGCTGCTCTCGCATACTCGTACGATGCCCAGAGGGACTCTGCTGCTGCGCTGGGTTCGATGCTGGAGATCCAACAGAGGGTGCAGCAACAGGTGCGTGGTGCGTAGGTGTGTGAATGGTGGCAGATGTTATCCGCCATGAGTGCTGCTGGGTCCACCCACGGTTCTCACTCCACCTCCCCACACGCGCGACCTCCACAGCACGCCATCAAATCTCAAAAGATTCTCAAAAGAATCTCACGTATCACCTTCAATCTCATTCGCCCTCGCTCCCCTCCCTCCACAGATATCAGCCATGAGGGCTGCTGGGTCCGCCAACGCACTGAACTCCACCTCCCCAGCACAACCAACAACCTCCTCCAACCCCCCAGCACATGAATCCTCCACAGTTGTAAACCCCCATCATTTTCATCCATCCCCTCTCCCCTCCCTCCACAGATATCAGCCATGAGTGCTGCAGGGTCCGCCCTCGGACCTCACTCCACCTCCCCATCGCAACCAACCGCCTTCAATCCCTCCAACCCTTCAGCACATTCCTCCCAGCCGGCAATACCATCCTCTACAGCCGCTACAGCTGCAGCAGCGGCGTCTGTAGCGGCAGCAGGCGGCGGCAGCAGCCCCTTTGCGAGCCTGTGGAAGAACATGGCGTCTCAACTCTCCCGCGCTTTTGAAACGCTGCTGCCCGCCTCCTCCCCTCAGCTCATGATGCTCCCCTGATCTCCTCCCCACCCTTCCCCCTCCCTCCACAGATATCAGCCATGAGTGCTGCTGGTGCCGGGTCCCCCCTCGGACCTCACACCCCCTCCCAAACACAACCAACCGCCTCCAACCCCGCAGCACATTCCTCCCAGCCGGCAATACCATCCGCCACAACCGCCACAGCCGCTACAGCGGCGTCTGTAGCGGCAGCAGGCGGCGGCAGCAGCCCCTTTGCGAGCCTGTGGAAGAACATGGCGTCTCAACTCTCCCGCGCGTTTGAAACGCTGCTGCCCCCCCCCTCGCCTGATGATCCTCCCCTGGGAGGGAGCGCTGGGGCTGGGGGGGTAGCTGCTCGGACAGCGGCAGGGGCAGCAGGGGTGGCTGGGGCGGCAGGAGCGGCAGGGATAGAAGCAGGGGCAGCAGCGGCGGCTCTGGCAGGGATTGGAGGAGGTGCAGTAGCAGGAGCAGGTGGGGTGGGGCTGGTTGTGGGTGAGAGCGGAGTGGCCGCAGTGGAGGAGGCGTGGGGGGGAAATGTGCAGTCTGGGAGCAGCGGCGTCATTGATATCACAGTAAGTGGCGTCATTGATATCACAGTAAGTGGCGTCATTGATATCACAGTAAGTGGCGTCATTGATATCACAGTAAGTGGCGTCATTGATATCACAGTAAGTGGCGTCATTGATATCACAGTAAGTGGCGTCATTGAGAGCAGGAGGGGTGGGGTTGGTTGTGGGTGAGAGTGGAGTGGCCGCAGTGGAGGCTTGCGAGGGGAATGCACAATTGGGCGGCAGTGGCGTCATTGATATCACTGTATGTGCTTATCTGCCTCTCCCGCCTTATGTGCTCCTTCACACCTCTCTCGCCTTTCCCTCCCCTTTACCTTGGCTCTCTCTCTCCTCTCGTTCGCCCCTCCTTCACCCCTCTCTCGCTCCTCCCTCGCCTTTTTGGTTTCTCTCTTCACATGACGCTGTTTTTCCAACGCCCCTCATTCATTTATTTATTTTATTTGCCCTGCTCTTACACACACTTTGGGTTTTCCCCTTACACTCGTCTCTTTTCCCTCCCTCTTTTCCTAAGTTTCTCTTCTCTTTCCCTCCCTCTTCTCCTAAGTTTCTCTTTTCTTTCCCCCCCTCTTCTCTCTCTTCTCTTTCCCTCCCTCTTCTCCTAAGTTTCTCTTCTCTTTCCCTCCCTCTTGTTTCTCTTCCCCCTCCCACTCACCCCCCCTGCAGCCCCAAGCCCCCCTGGCAGGGGCGCAGAGCAGCCTGGTTCGGTTGGCAGGGGAGGTGCGATCTAATGACGCTCTTATCTCCTCCGTCAACCGTGAAATGGAGGAGGAGCGGCAGCGGCTGCTGAACAAGGTAGTGTAGACGTGGTAACATGGTAACCAGAGAGCAACAGAGGTTGCTAACATGGTGGTAACATGACAGGGGAGGTGCGATCTGAGGACGCTCTTATCTCGTCAGTCAACCGTGAGTCGGAGGAGGGACGGCAAAGGCTGCTGAACAAGGTAGTGTAATCTGGTAACATGGTAGCCAGGTGCAATCGGTGGCACAGGAGGTGCAGCAGCGAGTGGCGGTGGGGGATATGGAGGCCGTGGTGGTGGTGGATCATTCTTGATCCATGTTCTTGCTCTCCTCTGTTCTTCCTCGTGTGATGAGTCGGTTTTTTAGTCGACTCAAAAACCGTGTGTGATGAGTCGGTTTTTGAGTCGACTCAAAAACCGACACATCACAGTGGTGGTGGTGGATCATTCCTGATCCATGCTCTTGCTCTCCTCTGTTCTTCCTCCCATCCCATCCCCCCAACCCCATCCCACCATGCAGGCACAATCAGTGGCACAGGAGGTGCAGCAGCGAGTGACGGTGGGGGATATGGAGGCCGTGGTGGGTGCAGCGGTGGAGACAATGCAATCGGAACTGCAGGCAGCACAGCAGCGCACTCGCCAGCTCCTCATACAGGTGAGGCTGTCACAGTGACCTTGCTTTTATTATCACATTCTTCTGAATCACCATCAGAGTTGCAGGCAGCACAGCAGCGCACTCGCCAGCTGCTCATACAGGTGAGGCTGTCACAGTGACCTTGCTTTTACTATCACATTCTTCTGAAGCACCATCAGAGTTGCAGGCAGCACAGCAGCGCACTCGCCAGCTCCTCATACAGGTGAGGCGTTCTCAGTCAGTTTGCTTTTGTATCGCATTCTTCCGACAGTGGTGGGGGCTGCAGTGGAGGCTATGCAGTCAGTGCTGCAGGCAGCACAGCAGCGCACTCGCCAGCTCCTCATACAGGAGTGTGGCTCTTATAGTCACCTCGCTTTACTGTCACACACAGATGAGGCTGTGTGATACGCTCTGCTGCAGGTGAAGCTGAAGGATCGTAAGATGCAGTTGAGGTGGGACGAGTGGGAGAAGGAACGGTCTTGCACGTCTAATCTGATTATGTAATCTATGCCGTGCTCTCCCTTGTCTTATGACTCATGGTGCTGCTGCAGGTGGAACTGAAGGATCGTGAGATGCGGTTGAGGCGCGAGGAGTGGGAGAAGGAACGGTCGTCCATGGTGGCTTCCCTGCAGCAACTTGTACTCGCTAAAGGCGGATCCGTTACCAGCAGCAGCAGCAGCAGCCTTGAGCATGGGGATGGGCACGGAAGAAACGGATCCAGTGGTGTTGACACCAGCAGCAGCGCTCGAAGCAGCAATGGCAGGGCCATCCCCTCACACTCCTCCTCCTCATCATCATCATCTCCATCCTCATCCTCCCCGTCGTCACCCTCTCGCAGCAAATTGCAGCGATCGTCAGGAGCAGGATCAGGCACAGCCACTGCCACAGCCACTCCCGAACCCGACAGCACTGGGGACTCTATCATGCGTCTCCTTGCCCTTCAGGCGGCTGTTTCCCGGGCAGAAGAAGCTGAGCTGGCAACTGCCGCCCGGCTGGAGCGCGTCGCTGACGTGCTCGGGCGGGAGATCGCCAAATTGCGTCGCGACAAGCGGGCGCTGGAGTCGCGCGCGCAGCTGCTGACGTGGCGGCTGGAGGCGGTGCATGCCAAGCTGGCGGCGGTGTTTGGGGAGTTGGTGGGAGTGAGGGAGGCGATGAGTGCGGGGAGGGTGGAGGAGGGTATGGCGATTCTTGAAGGGGTGATAGGGGAGGTGGGGAGGTGGACGAGTAACACTGCTATGGAGCAGGGTGGACAGGGGGTGAGAGGAGAGAGAGGAGGAGAGAGAGGGGGAGTGAGTGGGGAGGAGGGGAGGGACGGGGAGGTGGTGGCAGGGTGGTGGGATGATTCTCCTCCTGGCGAGTGGGCGGAGTTTGGGAAGAGTGAGAATGAATCGGAGAGTGGGGGTGGGACGGATGAGGAGAGGAGGAGGGAGGAGAGGAGGAGGAGGGATGAGCTAATGGCGTTGGTGGGGGTGGATGGGGAGGAGAGCGGGGGCAGTGGGGAAGGGGTGATCACGGTGTTCTATGAGACGGGGTGGGAGCAGGCGTTTATTCACCACAACGGCACGTCATCAGGGTGAGTGAGACGAGCTTCATGGTCAATAGACGGGGATTTTCTGTGATGGGGAAGGGGTGAGGTTTCATAAGACTGGGTGGGAGGAGCAGGCGTTCATTCACCACAACGGCACGTCATCAGGGTGAGTGAGACGAGCTTCATGGTCAGGTAGGTGGGATATTTGTGATGGGGAAGGGGTGATCACAGTGTTCTATGTGACTGGTTTGGAGCAGGCGTTTTCATTAACCACAACGGCACGTCTTCAAGGTGAGTTAAAGCTTATTGGACAACAGACAGGGGGTTTATGCATGAAAATCCAAAACAACCAAACACCACCAGGTTCCAGTGTTCTACGAGTCTGGGGGGGAGCAGGTATACATTCACCACAACGGCACACCTTCAGGGTGAGTCGAGTCTCTTGGTCTCACTCCTTTGCCTCTCCCCTGTGTGCCCTACAGCTGGACTGCTGTCGCTGGCGTGAGGATGAAGGGCTCCACTCCACTGCCAAGGGGCCGGCTGGCTTTCCCACTGCCAAGGGGCCGGCTGGCTTTCCCACTGCCACAGTCCCTGTTACCCTGTTGAAAAGTCCTCACTAACTGTGCATGTTATATACACCCACCTCTCTTCCCCCTTGTCCCCTCCCCATCTCTCCTGACAGCTGGACTGCTGTACCCGGCATGAGGATGAAGAACTCCACTGCCAAGGGGCTGGCCGGCGCATCTGCCTCACGTCTTGGTGTCTGCTTCCTCTGCCTCCCCGCCTGTGCTCCTCCCTTCCTCTCTCTCCCAGCAGTTGGACTGCTGTACCCGGCATGAGGATGAAGGACTCCACTGCCAAGGGGCCGGCTGGCTTTCCTCCTGCCACTGTCCCTGTTGCCCTGGTGAAAACTCCTCACCTCTGTCTGTCCCCTCCTGTCCCCTCTCCTCTCCCGGCAGCTGGACTGCTGTACCCGGCATGAGGATGAAGGACTCCACTGCCAAGGGACCAGCTGGCGCATCTGCCTCACGTCTTGGTGTCTGCTTCCTCTGCCTCCCCGCCTGTGCTCCTCCCTTCCTCTCTCTCCCGGCAGCTGGACTGCTGTACCCGGCATGAGGATGAAGGACTCCACTGCCAAGGGGCCGGCTGGCTTTCCCCTCAAGGTGCGTTCCTCGTTGCCTTTGAAGCTGTCACAGAATATATTGTTAGGTGCAATACATTCAGTTACTTGCTAGATTAGGTATAGTTGGGTTATTAGAAGTACTGTAGAAGTTGGGGTTGGTGCGTGGGTAGTTACGAGAAGTTGGTAACCCAGGGACTAGCGAGGAGCAGGGAGGGACAAATTCGAGGGGCAGCAAGCCCTGGGCAATTCGAAGGGCCAATCCTGAGGCTTAGCGGGAATAGCCCAATGTCACTTACGGGAAACTACGCGACACGGGTTGGGGAGTCAAATAGACTAGGAACTCACTGCTTAGTTCGTTCTCTCGTTTGTTTGCCTAAAATAGTGGATTTACGTTGCCGTTCTAACGCTACAGCAGCTAGGTGACTAGGCCACTGAGGGCAGCCATCGTGTGGGAGCCAGAATCTCTCACAAACGAGAGAACGAATTGGCAGTATGGACTGCCACGAGCTGCGCTGGCAGCGAACGTATTCGCGTCGGGAAATTCCGCCGTCGCGGCGGATGCGCTCACAGGAGCGGGAACGATCGCCAGGTCGCTCGCCTAAGAGAGAGGCGGATCGGGCGGATCGGATGGCAGCTGGTGACGGACGGCGCGGTGGAGGCGAGACCGATCTGCAGATGAGATTGGCGACGAGGCCTCAGCCGTCAAGAAGCGGTCCCTTGGATCTGGCAAGAGGCCAGCGGGGCGCGGGTGAAGGGCATCATGAGGATGCCGACGAAACGGGATCGCTGATGTTGGCAAACGAGGCCGACGGCGAGGAGACGGCGGAGGATGATCCAAAGGACGCGGGAGCAGATCGCTCGCCGGACGACATGCACGAGGGAGGCGAGAGGCGCCGTGGAGAGCAACGCGAAGAGCGCGGAAAGGCGACGGGATCAAGCCGCTCGACAGACGAAGTGCGTGGGAGTAGCGCAGGTCGCCGCGGGAGCGCGGATGCGGATCGTGCTGCTGGCGAAATGCGCGGGAATGGCTCGAGGTGCCGCGAGAGCGCGGATGCAGCTGGTTCGACGGGTGAAATGCGCGGGAATGATGCGAGGCGCCGTGGAAGCGCGGATGCGGACGGTTCGGCGGGCGAAATGCCCGAGAATGACGTGAGGCGCCACGGAAGCGCGGTTGCAGCAGGTTCGACGGGCGAAATGAGCGGGAATGGCGCGAGGCGCCATGGGAGCGCGGATGCGGGCGGTTCGGCGGGCGAAATGCCTGAGAATGATGCGAGGCGCCGCGGGGGTGCAGATGCAGATCGCTCGCCAGCCAGGCTGCGCAGAAGTGATGCAAGGCACGGCGAAGGCAAGGAGGCTAAGCGCGCGCCAGAAACCAGCCGTGAGGAAGAGAGGAGGCGAGACGTGCAGGCGGGAGTGTATGGCTCGCCTGAGCCGAGACGCGGACATGAGCGCAGGAGGCGCATGGCGTTGGGCGGATGGCGATCACCAGAGCAGGGGGGGGAGGAAAGTGAGGACGACCGCGATAGGAGGCGCGCGCAGCGCTCGCCTGCACGGCAGCGGACGGAGGAGAGGGAAGCGCGTGTTAAGGGCAGTGAGTGTTCGTCGCAGTACGCCACGGGTGCAGGTGCGAGAGCGCGCCGTGAAGAAATAGAAGAGTATCCGTGCGCGGGAGCAGGGTTGGTGCAGGAACCTGTCGGAGAGGCAAGGGGGAGGCAGGAGAGAAAGATAAACAGGAGAAAGGGTGAGGAAGAGCGCTGCCGGCGAGAGGTGTCCCCTGGGAAGGACCCGGGAAGTGACAAAGGAAGAAGAAGAGAGGATCATGGGCGCCGAGGAGCAGGCGGACGAGGGAGACGCTGTGAAGGAGAGTCCCTTGGGAGGAAGGAAGGGAGGGAGAAGACGAGAAGGAGTGGTGAGGAGCTGCGTGAAGAGAAGGAACATGAGTATAGCGAAGAGGAGGACGATGGGTATAATCTGGAGCGGCGCCGACGCGGGAAGCAGGAGCGGTGCGAGAAGGAACCATCCCGTGAAGGAAAGGAGGAGTATACGGGAGGGCAAGAGGGGCGTAGGGAGTACAACGTGGAGATGAGGGAGAAGCAGGACAAGAGAGGACAGAGAAGGGGAGGTGAGGAGCAGCAAGGGCGAAGGGAGAGATCGCCAAAGAGGGAAATAAGGAGTGAAGGAGAAGAGGAAGAGTACGCTCAGAGATGGAGAGAAGGGTCCCCTGCGGGAAGGAGGGAGAAATGGGAAAAGAAGGAGGGGAAGAGGAGCCCGAGCCCAGAATGGCACGGGAGGCAGTCACCGGCAGGGGAGGGATCAAGGAAAGCAAGGGCGGCCAGAGAAGGCATTGACCGCGTGCTGTATGGGAAAGGAGCGAGGGATAGGGAGAAGAGGAAGGTACTTGAAGAGGAGTACGAGGGAAGGCGAGAGGGACGTTTGGAACCCGGTGTGGAGGTGAGGGAGAAGCAAGACGACAAGGTGCAGAATAGGAGAGGAGAGAAGCAGAGTAGGCGACGGGAGATGATGCCTGCGAATGACTCAGAGAACGAGGAAGGAGAGCGTGACAGACCTGCACGCCACGGGTCGGGCCGTAGGGAGGGGCGCTGGGAAGAATATTACCCCGAAAAGAGGGAGAGATCAGGGTGGGGATCGAAGAGATATGGGGAAGCTCAAGAGAGAGAAGGGGGAAGGAGCCCAAGTCCGACATGGCAGAGAAGGCAGCAGCAGTCATGGGCAGGCGCTGGGGGAGCAAGGGCAGCCAGAGAAGGAATCTATCAAGCACTGTATGGGACAGCGTCGAGGAGCAGGGAGTCGAGGGAGAGGAGAGAAGAGAGTAGCAGAAGGAATGAGATCTCAGGGTCCTGGGAGACGGGGAGGTGGAATGTGCAGGCCCCACCTCAGGTGGAGGTGCCAGTGCGCTTTACGGGGGGAGCAGGTTCCGGAACCAACCTGAAGAATTACCTGATGCAGATCGCAAATGTGAAGTACCGCTGCGATAGAAGCGGGATGGACCCGATAGAGTTTTTCTTAAGCCTGCCGAATACGTTGGGGGGCGAAGCTGAAACGCTGTACCGAATGAAGATGCCGGAGTGGCTGAGACGGGCAGAGGAAGATGGAGATGATCCCACGACGCTGTTCCTTGAGCGACTGAGAAAACAGTTCCCGGGCCACACGGCCGACCGTATCCGAGAGTTTCAGGAGTTTAGGCGGGGTAAGGTGGAGTCACTACTCACATACTTTGGGAGGCTCGCCAATCTAGCAGAGGATGTGGCCTGCACGGACAGCAGCATGTTAATTAGCAAGTTTCTGGGGGGGTTAGATGAAGGACTGAGTGGGGGACTGAGAATGAGAGTGTATGAGTTGGGAGCGGAAGCAACGCTAGAGGAGGTGTTTGAATTGGCAGAGAGAGTGGAGCTGGCGCAGAGGCGGTACGAGGCGTACCTGCCAAGGGTGTCAGAGAAAGGGCGGCCCAGGTGGGCTGCAGCGATGATAACCGAGGACGAGGGTGAGGAGGAACAGTGGCAGGAGAGGCAAGCAGAAACACGGACGTGCCACAGGTGCGGGCAGGAGGGGCATATCAGGAGGGAGTGCAAGAACTGTGATGTGTGCAGAAAGCCTGGGCACCGCCGAAGGGACTGCCCAGATGTACCGAGCTGTGAGAAATGTGGGAAAAAGGGGCATCAGGCAAGGAACTGCTATGAGAAAGTAAGGGAGGCAGGGAGATCACCCGAGGAGATTGAGGAACAGATCAAACAGTTACGAGCCCAACTGCAGGCGCTGGGAGAAAGAACTCAGGGGCAAGCGGGGTTGTACGAGGAGGAGGAAGAGGAGCAGGAGCCGGAACGCTCCTGTGCGGCGCTGCGTGGCCATGCGGACATGCGGCTGCACAGTGGGGGCAGGGACGTGCGAAGAAAGCAAGTGAGTAAGGTGGGGGCATGGGCGTGCATGTTAGTAACGCCAGCAGCAGCGGAAGTAGAGGAGAAGGATGAGAAGGTGGGGGCAGGAGCGTGTGTACCAGCAACAGCGGAAGCAGAGGAAAAGGATGAGCAGGTGGGGGCAAGAGCATGTGTACCAGCAGCAGCGGAAGCGGAAGTGGTGGATGAAGGGGTGGAGGCACGGGCATGTGTGGTGGCAGCAGCGGAAGAGGAAGGGAAAGAAGAGAAGGTGGGGGCACAGGCGTGTGAAGCAGCAGCAGCGGAAGAGGAAGGGAAAGAAGAGAAGGTGGGGGCACAGGCGTGTGTAGCAGCAGCAGCAGAAGAGGAAGGGAAAGAAGAGAAGGTGGGGGCACAGGCGCGTGTAGTGGCAGCAGCGGTAGCAGAAGGGAAAGCCAAGAAAAAGGGGGCATGGGCGTGCGCACCAGCAGCCGCAGAAGCAGGAGGAAAAGACGAGAAGGTGGGGGCACGGGCACGTGTACTAAAAGCAGAGAAGCAAGCGCAGGAAAGTGGGATGGCGGAGCAGCAAGTGAGGAAGCTGTGGGAAGAACATCCAGAGCTGAAGGGGGAAGAAATGGGAAAAGAAGCCATGAGAGGACCCGAGGCGGATGTGAGGAGCATAACAGCAGAGGCGGCGTGTAACCGGGGGCAAGGTGACCTATGGGTCGCTCGATGGGAATGTCCGGTGAGGGACCCGGCCAAGAAGCAGGAAGAAGCAGAGAGGGAGAGCAAGGAAGAGGGGGCATGGGAGTGCCTGACAACAGGAGAAGGACTGGAGCATACAGTGGGAGATGCGATGAGTAAGAAAGAACAAGAGGCCGTAAAGACAGTAAAGGGGATTAAGGGAGAGACATGGGAAGATGAGTCGATGGAGCCAGCAACACAGGTGCTGACAGAACCAGCGGGAATGAGAGTGGCTGAGAACTGGGTGGCATGGGACAGGGAGCATACCTGCAGAGAGGGATACGCTGGAAGTGGCACTGGATACACAGAGAAGAGAGACACAGGACCTGGGGGGTCCAAGAGTGCTGGTGCAGAGGAATCAGAGAAGAGCGTAGATGGGGAACCGCCTGACGAATGCTGCAGTGGTGAGAAGCAACCGGCCTCAGCAAGAGTGTCCAGTGACACGTGCACGGGAGACCCGAGCACGAGCTCTGGAGGGGGCAGGTAGTGGCTGAGGCAGAGCAGGTAAGGTATCACAGGAACAGAGCTTGGAAGAAGAAGGGAGGGAGGATGAGTGCTGGGAGGAGAGGGCAGGCCATGGGAGGCAACAGAGGAGGGGTTTCCGACAGCTGTCACAGAATATATTGTTAGGTGCAATACATTCAGTTACTTGCTAGATTAGGTATAGTTGGGTTATTAGAAGTACTGTAGAAGTTGGGGTTGGTGCGTGGGTAGTTACGAGAAGTTGGTAACCCAGGGACTAGCGAGGTGCAGGGAGGGACAAATTCGAGGGGCAGCAAGCCCTGGGCAATTCGAAGGGCCAATCCTGAGGCTTAGCGGGAATAGCCCAATGTCACTTACGGGAAACTACGCGACACGGGTTGGGGAGTCAAATAGACTAGGAACTCACTGCTTAGTTCGTTCTCTCGTTTGTTTGCCTAAAATAGTGGATTTACGTTGCCGTTCTAACGCTACAGCAGCTAGGTGACTAGGCCACTGAGGGCAGCCATCGTGTGGGAGCCAGAATCTCTCTGGTAGTGGCTGAGGCAGAGCAGGTAAGGTAGTCACAGGAACAGAGCTTGGAAGAAGAAGGGAGGGAGGATGAGTGCTGGGAGGAGAGGGCAGGCCATGGGAGGCAACAGAGGAGGGGTTTCCGACAAAGCCTGCAGGCTGCAGCTCACTGGTTCATGCTTGGGCGGATTGCATGTATCAGTGGTGCAACCACTGACACATTTCAAGGGTTGTGCTTTGAGACATCTCAGCAATGGCTCCTCTGTGTTTGTTGTACTCCCATCCCCTTGCTTCTCGTTTCCTCCTGACTTTCTGCGTCTAAGCTCCACTATTTCTTGCTTATTCTCACGTTTTCTGAATGAAATTTCTGTCCCCTTTACCCCACCTTTCCCATAGCTCTCGTTCCCTCCCATTTCGTCCCCTTTCCCCCCTTTCTCTCCCCTTCCCTCCCATTCCCCCTTTTTTTCCTCCTCCCCTTGCCTCCCCCTCATTCTCCTTCCTTCCCCTTCCTTTCTCTTACCCTCGGGGTGTTTTCTCTGTCCCCCTTGTTGCTGCAGGTGTACTCCATAAGAGCATCCTCGCTTGAGTTTGTGACCAACAATGGAGCGGCTACATGGGACAGGTGAGGGAGTCCAAGGAGGAAAAGGGGGGAAGAGGGGAGATGAGGGGGAAGTAGGGGGAGAGGAGAGGAGTGGTGGGAGGAGAGTGGGGAAGAGGGGTGGGGAGATGCATTTTTTCTGGTGACGTCACTTTGCAAAAGATAAGAGTTATGGTGGTCTTGAAGGGGAGTGCAAGAACAATGGTTGTCTCCTGTGCTCCTTTGACCGCACCATTCTTGTGACCCCTTTTATGCGTGCTTTGTACAGCTCCCCGAGTGGTGGAAACTACACCATCGACCGACCCGGTTGCTTCGTCCTGTCGTCTGGACGTTTAACAGAGTTCGTTTGAACCCATTTTTCTATGGGGGGTGGTATTTATACGATTGTGAGATTGTATGTCAGTTTGCTTGTGTGTTAGTTTGTGGGTGTCCACTCAACAAATCTGCATGCACATTGTGTTGTGTAGTTGTACCATAGCTAGCAAAAAGCGCAATAAAGCGATAATTTTTCGAACCGGGTAGTGCAAAGTTTTCGCGGGAAACCTCACTCCCTCGCCTCTGACGCGTTCCCCACGCGCCCGAGGCAAGGTGCTCACAGGAAGCAGAGCAGGCTTTGCTTGTTCCGAGCCTTCAATGTGGTTCAAAACACACCTAGTGGTCTGGTAGGGTGATGTGGATCTGTGTTTTGATATGCTGTAGCTTTGAATAAGCGCTCTGGTTTGGAAATAGGCTCGGCTCGGAGGAGGCAAGGAGGACCATGGTTCACTTCTCTAGCCCCAAGCCAAACTCAATCGTTCCGAGCCTGTGTGCCGTCTTTCGGACCTCGTTCAACCAAGCAAGCAACGCGTTCGCCTAGAATCCATCCATCCCTTGCGTCCGTTCCGCACCTGTCACAGGTGTTCCCAATGTCTGGTTCGTAGGCTGGTGGTGTGATCCTTTCAAGTTGAGAACTCGGAAGACAGGATTCCGTAAGAGATAAGGGAAGAGGTATCGAGGACAGATTAGAGAGGTTGTTTTAGGGGATTCATAAGCGCGTGTCGTTACTTTGCGGTCGAGGGAGGGGCTCTGCTTTCTTCAGCGGCCGATCCCTAAAAATATATACCGCAACAGCTGCGTAGGGTTATTCAGCAAAAACTAACGTTAGGACACATAGGGTCTTGCGAGCATTGATTTCCTCACATCGTGCTCCTCAGTGACTGTTCGTCACTACAGACTTTTTCTGGTGTTAGTGCCGTTTGTGGTCCAGTTTTATGTTTGTAAAAACGCAGGGAGCTTCTTACGAATCTAACGGCTCGATCTCATAAGCCTCCGGTCGCTGGCAAGTTCTGATCGTGCTAAAATATTGTGACATTCATGGTGCTCCGCGGGCTCGAGCTTAGAATTTCTGGTCCATTTTTCGTGTGTACTTAATGTAATCCTTAGCCCCTGTAGCATTTAGAGTGCTTGGGAGAATCTAGAATCTCTAAGGTATCCTATTCCGTACTTCATTACGATATGGCTCGCTCGGAGATCGAGATCGACAGCCTTGTATCCGATTCCAGAGATTTTAGTTCCGCCGGGAATGACCAGAAAGACTCGAACAAACGTCAAGCAGCAGTAGAGCTGCAGCAGCAACAGCAGCAGCAGCAGCGACAACATTCAAATCAAAACCCGAACCAGAACTCGAGCCAGAATCCGAACCAGAATCAGCGGTCGGGAACGGAGCAGGCAGGCGGCGAAGGAGGGGAGGATGATGAGCGGAGCAAAGAGGACGTATACACCGCTGCGGCTTACGGCGACCTGGGGAAGCTGAGACGGCTGGTGGAAGAGGAGGGTCACTCCATCCATGCCACTGATGGCGGCGGATACTCCGCGCTACAGTGGAGCGCGCTTAATAACAAACCCGTTATAGCGACGTACCTTCTCGATGTGAGTGGTTTTATGTGCAAGGGATGAATTTCAACGTGAATTTGCATTCGTATACGTTTTCGTGTTTGTCTTCGTACTTTAAGTCGTCTCTGGCTTTGAGCTGACTCAAGAAAGACCAAGCCAGTTATGTTCATAATCAGCAACGTACATATTTCGCTTTGCAATGATCACGCTGAAAGGTAACTGATAGAAGTCTTGTTCTGTGGTTCTTAGGCGCCTCAAACAGTTACCGCCCAGCAACGAATGCGATAAAAAAGCAAGTCCGCTTGCATTGGTCGGCAGAACCTCTTTCCTCCAGTTTCCTGTTTTTCGGCATGAAAATGGGACCTGTAATGCGAAAAAAATGTTTGATCATCTGGTCTGCGAAGGCTCCTATGTGATCCCCCTTCTCCCCCACTCTCCCCCTTTTCAACCTCTTCACCTCCTTCCCCCCGCTCCTTCCCTCCCCTCTTTCCCCCCCTCCTTTCCACCCTCTTCCCCCCCCCCCGTCTTTCCATCCCCTCCTTCCCTCCCTTCCTTTCCCACCAAATCTTGCCTCCACCATATCCTACCTCCACCAAATCTTGCCTCCACCATATCCTACCTCCACCAAATCTTGCCTCCACCATATCCTACCTCCACCAAATTCATGTCCAGAAAGGAGCGGACGTGAACGCCAAGGATAGATCGGGGCAGACGGCGTTGCACTGGGCGGCAGTGCGAGGTGGCATCGCTGTTGCTGACGTGTTGCTGCAACGTGGCGCTGACGTGGAGGTTGCGGATTCACATGGTTACAGAGTAAGTATGCATTGTAACTCTACACCATAGGGTTACACGGTAGCCATGGGGAGGGGGCGGCGGTGGCGGCCCGGAGGAGGGGGGAGAGGGGGTGGGTTAATGGAGCAAGCAAAAACCTGAAACAAAATCAATTAACCAAATCTAATATTGAATTTACGGTTCTCTTCCTCTTTTTACTTCTTTTTTGGATGATACGGTTCTGTTCATCTGACACTTCCCGTCAGGCGGCCTTTATTATTACCCTGCCAGTGCACCCTAAGCCATCCCCACCCCTCCAACCACCGACCCCCTCTCTCCTGGCTCTCTACCCATGCAGACCACACACGTGATCTCTGCTCTGCTACTGTCAATGTACCCTAAACCCTGCTTCCCCCCTCCCCCCCCCCCCCCTCCCCCCTTCTCCTCTCCTCCGCCCTTCCCCTCACTCCCTCCCCCCTCGGCTCGCAATTATTCAGACCGCACACGTGGCAGCACAGTACAGGCAGACGGCATTACCACATTGAGGCCACGTGGCAGGCCTTGCCTGATGTAGTTTCAGGGCCAACCACTTCTTTCTCTCCCCGCTTCCCCCGGCTTTTCCCTACTCCTGTTCTCCTCCACTGCAGTCCACACACGCGGCAGCACAGTACGGGCAGACGGCATGTCTACACCACATTGTGGCTACATGGGGGGCCTTGACTGATGCGACCCTTCCTTTCCCCCCTTTTTCTTGCTCTCTACCATTCAGACCACACACGTGGCAGCACAGTACGGGCAGACGGCGTTTCTATACCACATTGTGGCCACGTGGGGGGCCTTGGCTGATACCACTGACAACGACGGCCGCACCCCGCTGCACTGGTGAGGCTTTAGGGTTATTAGGATCAGCTGGTGAGGGTTTGAGCGTGTCTAGACCAGCTGGTGAGGTGTTGCGCGGGTGTGGCTACGTAAGGGGGGGGGCTGCCTTGGTTGATACCACAGCCAACGACGGCCGCACCCCGCTGCACTAGTGAGGCGTTGCGCTTATCAAGGTTACCGATGAGGCTTCGGGCATAGTGAAATCATTGGTAATAAAGTTGCATGGGTTTGCTTTCATTCAGTCCTCATCATTCATCCGTCCCATCGTTCACCTCCTCCCAATCTCCCAGGGCGGCCAGTAAAGGCTTCACAGACCCCATCCGCCTGCTTCTCTTCTGTGACGCCTACCTCTCTCGCGCAGACCAGACGAGGGGGAGTGCACGCCCCTGCTCTCATCCACCCTCTCCGTCCTTCAATCTCCCCTCTTGCCTCCCCTCTCTAATCCTCCACAGGGCCGCCTATAAACGCTTTGCCGACTCCATCCGCCTGCTGCTATTCTGTGACGCCCACCCACCTTCCCCACGCTTGTGTCTTCCCTCTAATCCTCCCCAGGGCCGCCTACAAGGGTTTTGCGGACCCCATCCGCCTGTTGCTATTCTGTGACGCCTACTTCTCTCGGCCCGACAAGGAGGGGTGCACGCCCCTGCTCTCTCTCCACTCTCCGTGTTTTCCACCCCCCTTTTCTCCTTGTCTCTCCCCTCTAATCATCTCACAGGGCGGCCTATAAAGGCTTTGCCGACCCCATCCGCCTGCTGCTATTCTGTGACGCCTACCTCTCGCGCCCAGACAAGGAGGGGTGCACGCCCCTGCACTGGGCCGCAATCAGAGGGAATCTCGATGCGGTTACCCTATTGGTCCAGGCTGGCAGCAAGGACGATCTGATAGCCACGGACTCCACTGGGAGCATGCCAGCTCAGCTCGCGAGCGACAAGGGCCACCGCCACGTGGCGCTTTTCCTGGTGAGGTGGATGGTGTGACTGGCTGACGTGGCAGTGACATGTGGCGCTGTTTGTGGCGGTGAAATGGGTAATATATAGTGGGCAGCATGGGATAAGCTCTGTTGAATTCTTTTTTGAGAATTCACAAAAAACATACGCTGAAAGGTGTGCCGTGTTCTCTCTGTCGCCCTCCTTTTCTGCCTTGTGCTAACGCTCTCAAAGGTGTTTGACGCGCGGTGCAACACCAAGGGGCTGGCAGGCAAGGCGGCGGCATACGAAGGAGGAATCTCGTAACACCCCTCTGAATCTGTGACCTTGCTGAGGTTGTATATTCTGCTCATCCATTTCTCTCCCTCATTTTCCTCTCCTCAGTCCAATGCGCGCAAGGTGTTTGACGCACGGCACGACACCAAGGGCCTGGCAGGCAAGATGGCGAGATACGGCCTGGCGCCCGCGCTGTGGGCGGTCATCATTGGCCTTCTCATTGGCTTCACAAACGCTGTTGTCTTCTGTGAGTCCTTGTCCCGGATGTGCACGTCATGTAAAATGCAAAGCATTTTTCCGTCTTCATCTGTGTTTGCCTGATGCTCCTGGCTACCATGATTTCAACGACTGATTTTCCCGCTCACCCCCTTCCCTCGACCAGCTGCTGTGTTCCCTCTTCTCTCCCTTACTCTTGTCCTCTCTTCTCTCTCTTCTCGTCCTCCCCAATGCCTCGTCCTCAACCAGCCACCACGCTCCCGGTGATAACAGCAACCATGGCAGCATGGGCATGGGCTGTATTCATCTGTGCTGGCACGGGCATGTACTTTCTCTATCTCTCCTCCACGTAAGTAACATGACCCCACCTCTCCTCTCTGCACTTCTGCCTTGCAACCTGCAGCTTGTTA